TATATATATATATATATTGTTGTTCTCTGTGGGGGTCTCCCAGCTGTCAGTTGTTTCCTTTGGCCCTCTTGTCTTGGGCAGTGACAGACTGTTACAGATTTTTACACCAGGAAATGGCAGAGAATTCCCTCCAGCACCTTTTTGACCTGATACACAAGGTTGTGCAGGTGATTAGATATAATTTTGAAGCCTCCAAAGACGGGTTGCTGGGTGGCTTGCATCAACGTTGTCTCTGTCATCATCCACAGGGTCCTGTGATTGCAATGTCGGTCAGTCAATCGTTTCTCAAAGTCTTTACCCTAGCTCCCTTTTTAGGGAAGAGGTTTTCCTGGTCTCCTTTGGATGAGATCATTAAGAATGCCACAAAGCTAAGCCCTCTACAGAAAATGCATATTCCTTTTGTGCACACAAACACCCCATTTTGTTCTCAAGGGAACACCTCAAAGGCCTCTTGCACTTCCAAACAAGCCTCTTCAGCTTAGTCCAAGTGGCCCTGGAGTGCCAAATCTCTGAAATCCACTAATAAGGCTGCTTCAGCGTGAAGGTCTATTCTGTGCACCCCCAAATCCATCTTTTAAGGGTTGACCAGTCTAGCCTGTGTCTCTCCTTGGCCCACACAAATAATTCAAATAGAGATTCTATCATTCTGAAATATTTCTGGGATATATTCAACGGGGAATGCCATAGTATGTGCAGGATTTGTGGTAGAAGAATCATCTTTTTTTAAATTAGCAGGGCCCCTAGGGGGCATTTGTGTGTTGGATTTGCTAGAAGCAAGTAAGGGTTCCACATGAAGTGTCAAGTTATGTGCTGTGTCTTCTACACTGTGTACTGCCTAGTGGTCTCCTGCAGCATATGTACCGTAGTGCAGTATATGTCCAATAATGATGCACAGTAGGCCCTTTAATTGGCATTACATTGTTGCATACTTTTATCCTGTGTTACAGTATTTCCTTTTTAGATGGGAGATCTACAGTCCGTGTTCTGCAGAAATGTCAGCAAATGTATGTAGCGTCTTGGACATGAGGCACACAGAAAACTGGAGGCTAAATCCCCTTCCCCCTGCCCAGTCGTGCTTCATGTTCTCAGGAGATTGGATATCGCCTTCCTTTCTGCTGGTTTTCACTTTATTGGAAAAATGAATTACTGGTAGATTTTATGCCAGATATTTGAAATCCTACAAGTCTTTTCAGTTGTCCAACAAGCACAGGTTTTCCACAGTTCATTCTGTAAACTAGTGTTTCCTCTATAACGGTCCTGTGGTTGGCAGTGACTGTCTGTGTTATACAGGACTCCACTGTTCCGGTGAGGCCAGTATACTTGGGGATTCCTTGCCAAGTCGTCTGGACCGGAGATGTAGCAGTGTCTCCTGCCACTGTCTCTGATGACTCATTTGTTATGAGTGGCTAATAAGCTTTGTGCTGATTTGAGAATTTTCCTCCTACTTCATGGAGGCTCTGCTTGCCTTAAATCGGGCTTCTTGTGACTGGTTTGATATTCTCCCTTTAATCTGGATTTGCCTGTATCGCCCTCTTTTTTGTAAAAATCTATTACACTTTTCTAATAGGAGTCACCCTCTTTTATTCAGTCGTGGGGGCAGGGTCAGTGGGAGTATGCGGTTTCTTACTTTGGTGGCTAGGCACTGTGTTTTTTGCCTGCACTGCCATTTTTTTAAATTTCATGCTACCTCCTTCTTTCCTTGGGAGTTGATGATGCAGTACTAAAGACTCATGCACATGCACCAACTGCAGCCCCTTCTCCCCCGCTGCACCAATACACAGGGTTTCTCTCAGTCTAGGCACTGCTGTAGTTTGCCTCACGCAGCATCTTAAAGGCAGCCTGCATTTGGGGAACAGCACTTAAGTAGTATACACAGTTTTATCTTTTTTCATTCAGCTCGCTGGTTGAACAAAAAAAATTATAACAGATTCCTCCAAAGATAAACCGCATGAATGGATAAATCTCCCACTCTGTGCTTTGTATTCTGACAGTTCCTTCTGCAAAAGGCGATCTAATAATCGTCTTCAGTTGAGGGGATAGGGAAAGTATAATGTCAGTATACCTAGTGACATGAAGCCAAACTCCCCATTGGAGGGGTATGGGGAGGATAGCGATTTACATAAAGCCTTAACGTTCTATATTGTCTCGTTAATAATCTTTTGCAAGCTAATTGTGGAAAGAATGGACAACAGGGAGGTAAAAGTGGAAATGTGCATGCCTGTTTTAAGGTCTAAAAGAGAAAAAGGGTCATGGTTTGTTTTACAAAAAACCTTGAAGCGAAGATTCCTATTTGGCGACTCATTGCTTCTTTAGATTTACAATCCCCACCTGGATGCAGCTTTTTCCCAAGTCTTTAAAAGGAGGAATTTATTATTTTAAGCTGAGGAGAGCATTAAAGTAGTATTAAACTCTCAATCTTTTTTCAATATGAATCCAGATCAAACAAATATATATTTGTATTTATTTTAACTTTTTGCTCAAACACTTAGTCGTCATGTTTCAAAACCGCTCCAAATTTCTTAGCTCAGCTTCCTGAATATCCTATCCAATACAGGATTACAAGCACAGTCTCCAGTAGTGTCTTGGCTTGCCGTGTTTGTAGAGATGCACACCGCTTACTACCACACACAAGGGTGGCTCCATATGACCCTGCAAGGAAAAGGAGCCACCCTAAAACAGTTTATCAGGGCCAGTGCTCAAAGGACCATCTGATTTATGCAGGAAACCTAAAACTTTTAGACATCATGGGGCAGCTTCCGTTGTAAGAGGTTTAATTAGCATTTGAAATAGCTTTAAAACCTTTTGATATGGCTTTAAAGGTACAATTTACAAAAGAAATGGATGTGCTGCTGAAGAGAGCTTGAAATCTACCCTGACAAACCAGAAGCTGGCATTAGCTACCACATGCGTAGCCAGATAACCAGACTACATTTTAGCACAAATAAAGGTGCATGGCTAGGGAAAACTGTTTTGATTTCTTCCTCATCCTTAACAAAGCTGTGGAAATAATTGATGCCTCAACAGATTAAAAATGAGTGAGTACCTGGGGGGAAAAAAGTTGTTACATCTGCTACCAGTTATAAAGTGTAAGCACCTAGAGTGGCTAACTTTATATAAAATTAAAGCAGCAATGATCTTGGAGGCTCCATGGCTGGGTTCATGCAAGGCATTCCAAAATCTGTATGCAGCTTATCTGTCTATATAAGTTTTGGAGGCTGAGACAGATAGCCCAGTGTCATCATGCTGAATCTCAGACCCTTGTCACATGCAAAGCTTCTGCACTTTGATAGCGCTGAAGCTTGCCCACCCCTTTCTACTTTCTGCACATTTTCTACTAGCCAGTAAGACTATCCATCATAGTGACGGGTTAATATGAATGTGTAGAGGTGGGGCTTAGCGATGATGATACAGTAAACGCTCTGTTATCTGGAATTCATCTAACTAGAGCTCTCATCTTACCAGAAAACAAAAATCCCCTCTGTACTCATTGTTCTGCTGATCTGCGGAATGTATTATCCTGGAAACAATCGTGTGTCTCTTTGTCTTAATTTGCTTTGGATTACTGCATTTCAATGTTCATATGAAGTCAATACAGAGTTTATGGTATAGTATGGGGTATGGCATTGGTTGCATCTATTTTTATTACTAACTCTCAAGCAACCATGAACTAAATTTATCCGGAATCTACCAATCCCTGTGGATTCCGGATAACGGGGGAGTTTCCTGTGATAACTGGTGTCAGAGTTTTGCCTGTCATTGTCCTGGAGGAAAGTTTCGAAGACTACTGCAGGTATACCCAGGCACCTCCTAGATGCCTGTACTTGGAGCGGTTTGCCACCCTTCTCCCTAGAGACAGTTTCTTAATGAAAAATAACCATTCAAATTGCATGAAACCAAAACCCCTACCCTTGGCCTGTACAGTTTTAATATGAAAAGGATAAGTGTGTGTGTGTAAAATATATATAAAATAACGTACATATAAATATTTATTTCCCTTGAAAGTTTTCACAGAATGTTGAATCTCATTTGATTTCATTTTGGTGGTTTTTTTTTGTTTGTTTTTTATTCTATTGATCAAAATAAATACTCTTTCCTGCTAAAGTGAAAACACATGTCTATTGTTTTACCTTCAATTTGGTTGATGCACCTTTTGGCAATTTGAGTACTGTGTAGATAAGTCTCTATAAGCCTTGTACATGTGGACCCTGCAATTTTTTTTTCTCTCAGTCCCCAAAAACTACTGAAGCTTTATCAGGTCCTAGGAATTGAGTGCACAACCTTTTTTTTCATGTCATCCATAAATTCTAGAACTGATTGAAGTTTAGATTCTGACTTAACCTTTCACAAATATTGACATGGACATTATTTTTTTTGGTTCATGCTCAGGGCCATTGTCTTGCTGGAAGACAAATTTTCTCTCGGGCCCGTTTTACACCACAAACAGTGCGTTCCAGAGCGGTCACCCTCTGGAACGCACTATCGCATTCCGGCCGGCTCCCTGAGTTCAGGAGCGGGCGTGGCAGTGTATTGAAGTCATAACAGCCCGCAGTGCAATCGCTCGCACCCTAACATGTGGCACATTTGTGCCTGCATTCTGGTCCAGTGCGATCTGAAGAAATGCTGCAAGCACTATTTTTTGCAGATCGCACTGGACCTATATGTCACTCGCTGGGGTGTGGGCGATCGCACTGCGGGCAGTGGGGCGTAACTGCCGTGTTATTGAGTTCAATACACCGCCACACCCCTCCCCCATTAAACACAGGGAGCTGGCCGGAATGCGATACGGGGCGTTCCAGAGGCTGACCGCTCTGGAACGCACTGTTTGTGTTGTGAACCGGCCCTCGAAGCTCAGATTTCTTGTAGACTGCGTCAGGTGTTCCTCCAGGATTTCCATGTATTTTGCTGCATTCATTCTACCCTCACAAAGCTTCCAGGGCCTGCAATATAAAAAAGCACCCCCACTGGATGATGCTGCCACTACTGTGCTCCACATTGGGTATGATATATTCATAATGTTGTGCAGTGTTTGAATTATGCCAATCATCCTCCTTAGCCCTAAACCAAAATGCTCAGTTTTGGTCTCCTCAAACCATAGAACATTCTTCCAGCCCATTTTAATAGCAGTAACATGCTTCACTGGTGTCTAGGGATTCTGCACACTGAATGATGTAGGATAAAACACCCTTCAATTAATAAAATATACTTGCAAAGTGACAATTTGATCAGAATATTTTACCAGGTTAATGAACATTCATCAGATGTTAGGTCATAGTGCAGATGCAAAACCCTCACTCTAGAAGCATGCAAAAGGAATAATATGGTATGATGATGGAAGAATCTGTACTAGGGGGTAGAATATTTTTTTCTTGTATCAGTTAATATTTAATTATTTTACTTTTTGTAACCGTATTCCTTGTTGATTTCCTCTGCAGGTGATTTCCAGAAAGCCATCGATCTGCTAACAGAAGCCATAAAAATGAACCCACGGATTGCCATATTGTATGCAAAAAGAGCAAGGTGAGGTGTGACTTCATGAGAATAGTTTTTAGTTTATGCTTTTTTCTGAGCAAAATGGGACAAATTGAACATGTGGTATGTGATAAAGCATGGGCACACTGCTAGTTACTGCAAAATGTGTTCCCATTCCTCTTTGCACTACATATAAATCTTGTAACTGTGAAGGCCATTCCAAAAGCATAATCTTTTATTTTTTTTAAGTATTCTGTTTTTGATTTATGCAGTTTTCTTGTATCGTATTCTCATTTATATATCCTCTTTCGTCTTCAGTTTCTTTATTGACATGGGGTATTGGGCTTCTCAGTTTGTTATACTTGGTATATTTACCGTAATTCTCCCTTAGCAGCACAAGAAATATAGATATATTTTTAATATGTTCCCTTGCTTTGTACTAGTCATTTATTGTTGTTATTTTTCAGCGCTTTATTTAGCTGCTTAGAGGAGCCCGTGGGGGTGTACGCAGAACACTTTGAGAGGTTTAAAGTGCCAGAGAATTAAACTCTGCAGTAATATTCACTTGGCTTAAAGCTAGCCATACACACATTCTAATACCTTGTTCAATCTACTTTAGGTTTATCAGCAGCTATGCTGAATAAGAACCTATCTAGACAATTGAATTCGTATCTGGTCAGATAGTCATTCATACTACCCATCCCTTTAATTAGAAAATTCACAATGACTCCATCTGCATTTGTAGTTTATATGTAGATTTTAATCCTAACATTTTCTGCATAAACGATTTCTCTGGTGATTGTTATCTGACTTGCTCAACAGATGTTTTGTGGGTTACCTAGCTAATACAGCTGTGTTAAAAATTAAACAAGTAGGCTGTGTCATCTGTAGTGTGTGTATGTATATGCCGTTAGGTCCAGAAAAAAATTGGACAGACACAAGTTTTATTATTTTGACTGTTTACCAAAATAAATTCAAGTTACAGTTAGTTAAAGAATCTGGGATGCAGAGTCTCGGCTTAGGTTGTGGGTAGTACACATCCATATTGGAGGAAGTGTTTAGGAATTACAGCTTTTCTAAAGGTGGCCATACACCTTACAACCATCGCAATACTTTTTTCTTGCGATGGTTGTAAGGTAATTTAAAAAAAAGTACGATCTGCCCATCTTGGACAGGCAGATCGTACTTGCGACTTGATGACTGCAATGCGCACACCGGCCCGTGCAGCATTTATCTTACCAGCAGGCCACATACCCTGCCGACAATCGTACGATTCTCGGCGGGTTTTCAAACCTGCTCGTAAGACAAAAGACATGCGACCATACAGTAGAAACGGTCGCACGCCTTCCATACACCTTGCGATTATCGTGCGATAGCGGGATTTCCCGCAATTATCGTACGATAATCGCAAGGTGTATGGGCACCTTAAGTGATCAAAAGCGATTGGACAATTAGTTTCATGGACAGGTGTGGGCTATTCCTTTTTGTTATTTCATCATCAATTAAGCATGTAAAAGGCTTGAAGTTGATTCCATGTGTGGCATTCCCATTTGGAAGCTGTTGCTGTGAACCCTCAACATGCGTTCAGAAGAGCTCTCAATGCAATTGAAACAGGCCATCCTTACACTGCAAAAAAAAGCAATAGAACATTAGGAGTGGCCAAATAAACAGTTTGGTATATTCTGAGAAAAAAAAGAACGCACTGGTGAGCTCTTCAACACAAAAAGGCCTATAGAGGATTCTCCACAAGGTGCAAACCATTCATAAGTCTCATGAATAGAAAGGCTAGATTAGACTTTGCCAAAAAATATCTAAAAAAGCTAGCCCAGTTCTAGAACAGCATTCTTTGGACAGATGAAACCAAGATCAACCTGTACCAGAATCATGTGAAGAAACATTTATGTAGAAGGCTTAGAACGGCTCGTAATCTGAAGCATACCACATTATCTGTAAAACACAGTGGAGTCAGTGTGATGGCATGGACATACATGGCTTCCAACGCCACTGGGTCACTAGTGTTTAGTGATGATGTGAGGCAATCGGATGAATTCTGAAGTGTATAGGGATAAATTGTCTGCTCAGATTCAGCGAAGTTGAATGGACAGCGCTTCAGTTTACAGATGGACAATGATCCAAAACATATTGTGAGCCACTGATGACCGCTATTAATTTAAAGGGGACAGTCCAGGGAACAGTTCTGCTATAAGTTCATGGTGCGCTATAATTGTGCCTAAGTTCAGACAACGCTCACTGCTCAAGCTCATACAGCTTCTCCCTCCTCCATCAGCCCCAAGAGAAATTTCCGCCCCAGTTAACCAAGGAAAGAGCAGCCCTGGTTGCTAATATTCATTTGACTGCATTAGAACAGTAAAAAATAATGTAATTTTATTGCAATTTGTAATTAATCATCACAGAGTGCACAAGCAATATTATAGGTACCACATTCTGACAGTTGAGTAGTAGATGCATTTCCATGTACTTTAGTATGTGTAAGCTAGACAAATGTGCTATATCTTCTTATGACATAACTTTCTTTCTAAACAGTGTTTATGTGAAGCTACAGAAGCCAAATGCTGCAATCCGTGACTGTGATAAAGCTATAGCCATCAACCCTGACTCTGCTCAGCCATATAAATGGAGAGGCAAAGCACACAGGTAAGTGTTAAATAGCAGACTGCTATAAATTGGCTGTGGATGTTATTAAATTGTATCCTCTATGTTTTAAATAAAGAACTAATCTCTGTCCTGATGGTCTGCCCTATATCTTCTGTAAACAATACCGCTCCTACATTTACTAGACTTCTTTGCTGCAGTTATGAAAAGAGAACACAGCCATTCCCAATTTTTGCATTCCAACATCTCTGCACTTCCAAAGCCAAGCAAGGACCATGTGTTGGCTACTAACTATAGACCTATTGCCCTGCTTAACTCTAACTATAAACGTTTTATAAAGATATAAGTCAACAGATTTGAATGCATCTTTCTATGCCTTGTAAACAATGACTATGTAGGGTTTGTATAGGCAAGATAGCACGAGGAGATATATAGCCTTGCCATCAAACAAATTCAGAAACCTTGCACAAAGCCTTTCATGGGTTGAGTTGATCCCATATGTTCACTTTACTACAATATATGGGATTTACAGGCCCATTTTTCTCCGCACTATGTTCCTTTACTCAAACCCAGTTGCCCAGGTGAAGCAACCCCCAATAACCCCAACAAAACTTCCTCTTTACGCACACACAGTTTGAGAATTATGTTACTTATCTGTACAACAGACGTAGTAGTTTCAACATCAGTCCAATCCTCAAATTGGCCCATGACCTGCAGCCGTGTCCCATTCTGCAGTTCTATGAGTTTGATGGTTGATGGCATCGCCTATGCCTAGAGCCTTCTGCAAGCTTACTTAGAACAGCCCTAGCTTCTCGAATAGTAATTGAAGCAAGGAGTCCTCAGTCTGTGATAACACTGCACACTTCCAAATTTGGAAATTTTCCAAAGCTAAAACTGTATGCTGCTGCTGAGCATGTCTCTGAATTCTATTTGTTGTGCTGCCGGCTTTTATTTTAATATTAATAAATTACCAATTACATTACATTCCACCTCTGAATTCTCAAAGCTGTGTACAAAGAAAGCTGTAGTTCTGTGATTTTTAAATCGTTTCTGGAATAAAATCTTAGATTTAATAGCAAAGCACATTAATGAGAACCCCTTGTTCTTGTCTCACTACTTGGACTTTTACATGGGTAGAGCTATTCAACACTTATAATTATTGCACACCACCTAGTGACCAATTCTGTCTTGCTCTGGACTGTGGCAGTGTCATACAAAACAGGCTCGTTCCTTCAGCATTAACAGTGTTGTCAGATCTGCAGTGAGCCATCATTACTCCATACAGCGCCGAGCCTCCAGTACGCGGGCACCTGCTGCCATTTTTCTGCACCCCAGTTCCTATGGTTTCATGCACAGTTAAGTTGCTTAGCCTTGTTTTCACGTCAGAGGTATAGTTTTTTGGCTGCAGAAAAATGGCAGCAGGTGCTTTTGGACTGAAATATTTTGTCAAAATATCACAGCTCTGAAAACTGAAAAATGCCTGCTAACAAAGAGGTATTATGGGCCTGGTATTTAAGTGGTTAAAAGAGGTAGACAATACTTAATAACCTTTTATAGGATAATAGAAATAGAAGGATAACTGAGAACCCCAAATAAGTTTGATTCAGTAGACTTTCTACCATTCATTCTTCGCTGCTTTGCAGGCTCCTAGGACACTGGGAAGAAGCAGCCCATGACCTGGCCATAGCATGTAAACTGGACTATGATGAAGACGCAAGTGCAATGTTGAAAGAAGTGCAGCCACGTGTAAGTTGATTAGACGCTGGTATCTGGCAATCAAATGTTATATGTTTCACATGTACATCTTATTGATGCAAATCTTTTCAGGCTTTAAAAATTGCAGAACATCGTAGAAAATATGAGCGCAAACAAGAGGAAAAGGTGGCCAATGAAAGAAAAGAACATGTAAGAAAAGCTAAAGAAGAACATGAAAGAGCACAGCAGGTGAGTGGATTTTGACAAGTGTGAATATCAAGAATCAGTGGACCAGTTATTACAGTCAGATAATGACGGCTATGATGCTTGTGTTTACTAGAATAAAAATGATTAAAATACTTTTAGCCCTGGTTCGCACCTAGGAGTTTTTGAGCAGTTCGAAAAGCGCTTTTAAATGGCCAACACAAGAAATCCCATTATTTCCAATGGCCCCGGTTCACACCTGAGCAGAAAAACGCCTAGCAGGAAGACGCCTGAAAAGATACAGGAGCTTCTTTGGGCAGTTAAAAGCTTTCCTCCCCATAGACTTCATTTGGAAATGACCAAGCACGCGCAACAGAAGCATGTTGCACGTTTTCGTGAGCATTTTTGCACGTTTATACACGTGTCCTCCCATTGCCCTCAATGGTTTATGAGCTGCCAATCAAAACACGCTTCATGTACGCGCGTTAAAACACGCATACAAATGTGCATAATGCGCATACACACGCAAATAACCGCATGCTGCTAATGCGCGTACAAATGCGCAAAAGCGGTGCCGCCTAGGTGTGAGCCAGGGCAAAGAGATTTAACTTCTCAATGCTGGGGAATGATCTACAAAACTAAGATTGGAAGAACATTTTATCAATAACAAAAATGGGAATGTTTACATTGATTTTATTGAAATATTGCAAAATACTTTAACTTGGCCAATACATCTAAAAGGCTAAAACAAAGCGGTTTCTAATGTAAAGAAAAAACCCATAAACTATAAGAATGGCATTTAAAAATGTAAAACTCAAGGAACACTATCTAAAGTTGCAAAGAATGCCACAAAAGCTGTAGAATGGAAATCATGTTTCCAAAAAATCAGAATAAACACAAAATTCTTCAAAGGAGAACTATGAGGTGAGTGCTTTTCACTCACCTCCTCCTAGTTCTAGCCGACCTGTGACAATGAGACTGCCACAGGTCAGCTCAGTAGATCGGGAGGTGAGCGAACACATACCGGCGTTCGCTCACCTCTCGATCCTGTCACGGCTCTCTGCTGTGACAGGAGAGGGGATGGATTCCCCACTCCGATCCGCCAGCGCTGACTGGCGGAACGGAGGGGGCGGGTACAGCTGGCTCTGCCTCTAGATAGGCAGAGCCAGCTGTCAGTCACGCAGCTGGGCGGATCCAGACATAATTGTCGGGATCCGCTTCAGCTGCGGCGTCTCAGGATAAGGCGAGCAGCAGCTCGCGTTATACTGCGGCGTCTCAGGATAAGGCGAGCAGCAGCTCGCGTTATACTGCGGCGTCTCAGTATACCTATACTGAGCCTAGGGTGACGGGAGGACGCTAGTTTGTGTCCTCCCGTTACCCTAAGGAGAACTATGGGGAAAAGCCTTAAGCCCATATTTCTCCTTTGATCCTCCTACAGCACTTCTGCAGCATGAAAGCTCCTTCAGTTGCCTATTGGACTAGCATTCTGATAGCTCACCCCAAACTGAAAAAGAACACAGAAGGCTGGCAACGCTGCTTCTAATTGTGAGGCAGTAGCTTGGCGTTGTCAGTCTGAAAGAGGAAGCGCTGTTACTGGCAGGATCTCCAGGTAAGAAACTTTGCAACAGATTCACAAAAAATATTTGCTTAAGAAAATTGTATTTAACTAGTTTAAAATATATTTTGGGTTTTACATACACTTTAAATTGGTGTCACTTGCAACCTTCTTTAAAGCCCACCTTCAGCCGCAGCCTCTTCCCCCTCCGCTCTGAGGCTCGCCGATGTCTCCAAGTCCTAATGCCTTGCATTATATGTGACGACGCATGGGAACGGTACACGATTTGGGGAGAGGGGTGAACCCCATTAAGTGCGGCCTTCCATGTTTAAAGCAGAACTCCAGGATGTGCAGAAATTAACCTGTTTTGTCTTGGTGCCGGAATAAAGAAAATATACTCACCTGATCCTTGGTCCTGCTGCAGTCGGCGCTCATCTCTCTCTCTCCCCCTCTCCAGCTGTGGTTTGTCCCTTGGCATCCTCGCATCTAATGCAAGTGAATGGACCTTGCATTAGACGTGATGTCATGGGTCCTTAGACCGCTGGAGCCCAGGGAAGAAAAGGCTGCAAGGAAAGGTCTAACAGCCTGGCAAGGTTGAGGATCAGGTAAGTTTATCTTCCTTAAAAGAGAACTATGGCTCAACCTTTTTTTTGCCATAGTTCTCTTTAGGGTCACAGGAGGACGTATACTAATGTCCTCCTGTGACCCAAAACTCAGCATATAGTGGGCTATTGCCCTCTATATGCTGACAGCGCAGAGCCGCGCTGCAGCCAGGACGGATCCCAACAATATTGTTGGGATCCACCCGCCTGCCTTATTGACAGCTGAATCTTCCTCTCTAGAGGCAGAGCCAGCTGTGCCCGCTCCCTCCCCCATCCCACCCTCCAGTCTGTGCTGGAGGAACGGAGAGGGAAGGAGGGATTTCCTTTTGGGGAGCGGTGACCGACAGGGAGATGATCTGTAACTGAGCGATCGGCGTTATATGATTACTCGGTTCCCGATCAATAGAGCATACGTGTGACAGCTTGTCATAAGTCGGCTCTAATTATGGGGATGAATGTATTTCACTCTCCCCATAATTCTCCTTTTAATCCATCCCCTAGATGGATGCACTTAGCCTGTGCAGTGTGGGGGTAGCCCAACTGCAAGAATTAATTTTTGCTAGGGATGCACCGATACCAGTATTGGTGCTGATACTGGGCATTCCCATAAGTACTCCTACTTGTGAAAATGCCCCGATAATAAAAACCGATACCGGCACTTTACATTTTTAAGTGGAGGCGGCTGCCTTAAGGTCACACGCTTGCTGGGGACCTTGCAGCTGCCGTTTGGGGAACCATGTGGCACCTGTTTACAGTGCCAGCCTGCACATCTACCCTCCTGAGACACTCCACACCCCTCCTGAGGGCCCCCTGCCTGAGACATCAGGCCGGCACCCACGAGTGGCAGAGCAGCAGCACAGGATATGTAGCAAATTTGAACACTATTATTCTTCATTGCTGTAGAATGTATTGCTGGGATTTGAAGTCCTCTATAGATGGTGGCGTTCTGTATTTCTATATAATGTATTGCTGAGATTTGTAGTCCCTCTACAGCTTGGAGTCAGTGGCAAAACTTCCAGGGTCGCAGCATTTGCCACTGGGACCAGGCCTTGGTGCTTCGCCACTGTCCTAAAATCCATTAGTCTGTATGTTTTAGAAAAACTGTCACATGACCAAAAAAAAGGTATAGGTAATTGGTATCAGTGAGTACTTAAAGTGACATTAAACTCTCAGATTTTTTAACATAAAACAATACTGTAATGTGTGCCTTACTGTAATCCATGGTTGTTTCCCTTCTCTTTGCTGCTCTTCCTTTTAAATCCTCATGTCTTCTCATGCTTGGGGAGAACTTCCCTTTGCAGCTGAGTGCCTCTTCCTGTAGTGCTGGCTCAGGTTGTGAACCTTCACACCGACACCATGTAGCCATTCCAGAGACAAGGCAGTCAGCTGCAAAACAGAAGTTCTGCCCAGCATGAGAAGAGATACGGATTTAAAAGGAAGAGCAGCAAAGAGAAGGGAAACAACCATGGATTACAGTAAGGCACACATTACAGTATTGTTTTATGTTAAAAAAAAATCTGAGGGTTTAATGTCACTTTAAGGAAAAGTATCGGTACTTGTACTTGGTCTGGAAAAAATGGTATCGGTGCATCCCTAATTTTTTCACATCCTGGAGTTCTTCTTTAATACTCGCCTTCCTCCTTCCTGATGTTCACTGTGTAGCCCTGCCTGGTACCGCACACCCTTTCCAGCAAAAACTCTCCAACTGTCTCACCTTCTTAGTATACATGATGCAGCCTGATTCTTTCCTATGGGTGAGCTGTATTCAGCTGACTAGCTGAATACAGCTCACCCATAGGAATAGTTAGTTATGTGTAATGAATTCAAAATAATTTTTTTTTGTATGCTAACAGGAGGAAGAGGCCAGGCGTCAAGAAGGTGCCCAGTTTACAGGTTTCCCAGGTATGGCCTTTAAAGCTTTAAAACGTATTTTCTGCCAAGAACATACACAGGTATTTTTACAGCATAGTGTAGTGGTAAATATTACTGTCAAAAGTTGTCCTTTTAACTTTTCATTAATATCCACTTGGTTTAGATAAGCTTGTATTCGGTATCTGGGAAAGCTTTGTTACTTCCTAATAATGCTAAAACTTGTTAGCCAGGAAGTCTGTCTAATATAGTGACAGTTGCATTCTTCCCCCTTCCCCAGTGACCAAGTCTCTACAATCCATACCTGTTGGGTTTTTTTTTTTATTTTTAAATCGTTAGGTTTTCTCAAGGTTATACAGGCATGTTGATGTTTGAAGTACGTTGTCATTCATTTGTTGTATAAGGACTGTCTTTTTCTCACAAAATGTTAGAAAATGAACTTACCCACTCCACTTTGTCACCTCTCCCTGCCCCCACTGTTCATACCTTTTATACTGCAAGTGCTCACCGCTAACCCCCACCGACTGTGTACAGTCCCTACACTGTACTTCAGCCATGACCGTTCTTCCTTCCCTCTGTCCAGCTGTAGTTCATCAGACGGAGATTTTCCTTCACTGTCTGGATGTGTTTTGGGCCATGAGAGGTTCTCTCAGCGTCTGCTTCTTCCAGAAAGACTGACTCATTCTGCATGGTCTCCATAAAGGCAAACCAGCTTCTTGTTCCCCTATTTTTTGGTAGCTTAGCCTTAGACAGACCTTTCCTAAAGCCCATTTCCACTTTTGCAGAGGTATGTTTAAAAAAACCGTGCCAGCAGTGTACACTGAGCGTACATGCATGTAGCAGGCATATGCAGTTTCTGTATATGAACTTACTTTTTTGTTCCTTCCATCTCCTCATGACTCTTTTTAAAATGGCTGCCTATGTGCTCTGTGCAGATTACAGGCTACTATGCACAGTGGGAACTACAATGTAGGGCATGGAAAACTGCATTTCCCACAATGCTATGCTTCCCTCGTGCATGAGCTTCTCTGTGGAAAGTCAGATTTCCCCCCTCCCATTCATTAATATTCATAGGGACAGTGCACCTTACACAGTGTAAAGTGACCTGCTGATTTTTTATTTTTTTTTAACCTGTGACTACAGTTGAAGGAATGTTCTGAGCGATTATACACATCATATTTTTTATACGGCAGTTTTGTTGTGGTGATCACCTCAAAATCCATAAGGGCCCATTCATACCTGCACCTACAGTGCGTCTGTGCCTCCCGGCCGCAATGTGCTTCTATGCAGCACAACGCACAGTACTGCGATACTGTGCATCCACTACTTTTTTGCACTGCCACACACGGTATTACAGTACCACGCATTGCCAATTTTGTTGTGGTGACCCCCCTCAAAATCCATAAGGGCCCATTCACACCTATGCGTTGTGTTAATCGCACGGTACCGTAAGATTAACGCATGCTGTCAACGCACCTACTGTGCATTACAGTGTGTCGGCTGCATTTAGATTCATTTGAATGGCACTCCAATGTACCGCAAGGCATGATACCACATGCGCTACTTTTTTCTACTTCACCACAATGCGCAGTATTGCTCTACCACGCATTGCGGTCACCTGACACATGGTGGGTGCGTTGTGTGATAGCGTGCATTAATCGCACGGTTCTGTGAGATTAATGAAACGGGCACTGAAAGACCCCCTTATCCAGGCAGGCAACCTGGCTGCCAAAGAGGGTGTAGGTGGCGTGGTGCAGCGAGCTCTTCCTCTTTTCCACTCTTTCCTGTCAAGGCGCTCTGTTATTGCCTCTTGGGCTCTTCAGTAACGGGCTACTCTTTCTCAGATCTGCAACACTGCCGCCTGGTCTTCTAATCACGTGTTTTTCAAAGTTCTACCAGGTGGAAATTCAAACCTCATCTGATGCCAGCTTTAGATGAAAAGGTCCTTCAGGTGGCTGTTTGAGCTGCAGGCAACCCCTAGTTATGATGTGTTTAGTTGGCCTGTTTGGATGTGTTTAATGTTGTCGACACAAACTTTTGCTTCACAAACATAAGCAAAAATTCACTTTGCAAAGGGAACCTTTTCTGCTCCTTTTAGTAAATCAGGGTCACTGTTTGTTTACAAATGACATATGTAGTGGGATATGGTCCTTTCAATATATCTTTACCTTTACAAGCTGTTTGACGGTTACATGAGAAATGAGGTTGAGTGTGGTGAGTTGTAAAGTTGTGCATTTCAGGCAATAAAAACATTTTGATTGAAAAGCTTCACTAGATACAGCATACTCGCTTGTAGCTGCCAAGTTGCACTGACTTGATGCAAGCTACAAATCCATGCTGATTAGTAGATGAGAGATACTGATAACACAGTTAAGTTGGAATCTCTCATAGAATGGTTGGTTTTGGCATGTTGTTGATTTTTAATCATTAAACGTTGCCTTGTTCTGCCATGTTTCTCTGTGTGCAGGCGACCATATTGGTAGTTGCAGGGTTCTTCTTCCTCATGTCAGAAAGGCATCATAGTGACATGACCTAAATCTCTCACTTCAGATGTCATAAGACTAGCAGTCAGAGGCAGCAGTGCCTCAGATCTCACATTACAGATATACAGCTATAAGGCTGAGGGACAGGAGTGCCTGGGCACACTCGCATACCAAGCAGTGCACCTTTTTTTTAGCAGGAGGAATTCCAGGTAAAAAAGGTACATTCTTCAAGGTACTGCTTAGGCAATTAACTTTTTCAAAATTCATGTATAACTTTGAGATTGTAAATGGCATTACAGCATGTAATAAAATGTCTAATATTTCCATAATGCTATGTTTTCCTGGTTCATAATACCTAAGCGTATTTTCTCTCCCAGTGTATTTTCAGTGCAAACTAATAATACCGAGTTTCTTGTAGGGGGATTTCCTGGTGGCTTTGCTGGGATGCCAGGTGTTGGTGACATTCTCTCTGACCCAGAAGTTTTGGCTGCAATGCAGGTATAAGTCCAGACTAGTTTTCCAGAATCCACAGATTACTACACGGTATAAATGTGTTTTCTAACCTGGTCTATAAGTTAGAATTTGATTTGCAAGGTGTGATATTTTTTTGCAGTTTGTGCTTAAAGGGTCAGGCCAACCAAAACTGATATTTTACTGTTTGAAAAGTGGAGTTTAACGCTAAATCCTCTACCAATTTCTTTTTTTGAGATCACTATGCTGTAGTTCAGCACACCTGCTTGGGCCTTTATGAAGGGTTTCACTGTCTGTTGGATTATCCATTTATATTCAATTATGCAGCTGGAGTATCTTCTGCTTTCTCATTGGGCTGTATATAATTTTCATTACCTCTTTGGAACTGACGGTGATTTCTAACTAGAAGTGTATTTATCACACAAATGGCTAGTCAACATTACAAATATATATGTTCCTCCCCTATGTTTATTGGGGGACACCGCATCAGATCTTTGAGTATACGCCCTGCCTCTAGGTGGTTGGACACTAGTCAGATCAAAAGGCAAAGCTGCGCCTACTGGCTATATCCTCTGCACATGCCAAATAATGACCACTTTAGCTTAGTGTCTTTAGCAGGTAGACATCTTTATATCTGGGTCTGCTGGATCAAGACGTGGAAAATTTCTTCACAAGCCTTCATCATCATCTATTAACAGCGGCTGGTTGTGTCATATCTAACCCCCCAGATCTCATTTTAAACTTTGGTACCACTCTAGGGCCTCACCACTGTGATCATCCTAACCTGTGGGTGCTCACCTCTCCGGGTGCACCTACTGTAATTAACACTATGTAATGAGGCCACAAACCGCTGTTTCCAAAACATCAACTTTATAGTTCAAGTGTAACAGGGAATACTCCACCTAGCACCTTTCTGATGCAGTTCACCCCCTAATGGAGCCTAATCATAGAACCATTGTATGATTAAGTTCCACTGGGGAGCAAAAGGCGTAAGAAAAAGGCGCTGTAATATAAGAGAGACGTCACCAGCACAACAAATTCCTTAAAGAATCGTCAATCGTAGATTTATTTGAAACGGATGTCAAAAACACAAGCGCTTTTGGAGCCCTTCATCGCTGTAGGAGCAAAATCAGCTGGTCCCCTGAGCACTGGTGCCGACTTCCTGTTTTATAGTGACTCCTTTCTCAAGCAGAGTGCTATGCAGTCACCCTTGTGTGTGCTAGTAAGCTGTGTGTGTCTTCACAAACACACCGACACAGCAAGGCAAGACACTCCCCTTGCCCCCTCTCCTCCATTTTCCAAGCTAGCAGATGGATAGCTGCTGGAGTCTACTCTGTGCTTTGTGATCTTGTACTGGACAGGATGTTCAGGGAAGCTGAGCTGAGAAACTTCTAAGCAGCTGTTCAGAAACATGATTGTAAGGCCCCATTCACACTGAGCGATTTATCGCGCGGTAATTCCCGTGATATCGCGGCTATTTACCGTGCTATATCGCTCTCCAATGCATGGCAATGGGACTCTGTCTGTCACAGGCTGTGTGTCGCTACAGCAGGACCCTTTTTGGCGCGTATTTTGCCGCGATTCTAGCTTGCTCAATGCAAGCATTTGCGCGATATCGCGCAAAATGCAAATCGCGCAATTTGCTCAGTGTGAATGGGGCCTAAGTGTTTGGGCAAAATGCTTTGCTGGGCAATGTATATTTGTTTGATCTGGATTCATTATTGAACAAAAGTTTGAGAGTTTAATACTACTTTAAGGACCCAGTGCACAAAAAGCTAAAATATGTGCTAACATTTTTTTATTTTAATAGCCGATTCTGCTTTGTGACCAGTGTGTCCCTGGGTGTAGGGCTGCAATGGAATGGGCAAAAGTAATATGTTAGGGCCTGGCATATGAAAGCTTACTGACGCACCAAACAGTATATGCGTTTCCTTTCTGGATAGAGGATGAGTGATTCCTCATTGCTTTGCCTCTGTGGCCTTTAGTAGAGTTCTCTGGGTCAATTGCTGGTCTGTAACGGGTTACTTGTTCAACTTTTGTTTACAAGAGATATAAACAGTGGAGTTCTCTAAACATATATCTGATGGCATCCTGCCACAGTCCACAGGTTCATACCCAGTCAAGGCCTTGGTTGCACGAAGCACTCCATACTCTCTAAATTAGGCGTTTCTATGGAGGATCAAGCTGGAAGGAATTTCTACCATTCTGCTGGCCCAAGACTGACCAAGAAGGTTCTGCTACTGAGACATGACTTCTCTGGTTGCAGACCTCCTCTGGCCTCGGCCCTTCTGTGTCTCTGGGTCCAGTATTCCATTTTCCACTTCTCGCTTTTTGGCTTTAACAAAATGGTGCCTTTATCCAATAAGCTGTTTTTCGCCACAGGCACAAGGTGGTCTAACAGCCTCATCCTTCCTTCCTTTAAACCAAAGGTTGTATCGTCCTATCCTGGAGTGGATATTTTGCTGTTTTTTGTCCTTCTGATCCTAATGAGATTGTCCTGGATGTGCAGGCAGCCAGGATCTTCCTCTCTTCTGTAGTCTCCTCCCTTAAGACCAGCTCACTCTTTGTCTTCTCAAAGGGCTCCAACATCCTACAAGGCATAGTGGTATACCCAGAGGTCTGATGATCTATATCCTGTAAACTCTTGCAGAAAAGGAATTTACAGGAAATATAAAATCATTTTTTTTAGTGCTGTATTTAGTGGTTTGCCTGGAATTACAGTTTAATATATTTATCTGATGGCTGTGACCAACATAATGTGCCCTCCTTTGTCCCAATGCATGGCATCCTCTATAGTTTAAAAAAGGCATGTAAAAATGTGTTATTCTACAAATAAAGTATCCTTTTAAAAGCTAACCCTCTAATAACCACACACAGCATTACAGTCACAAATATACAGTGCTTATATAAATGAACATTCTCTGCCATTCACTGGGTTAAACATTCATTTACATTTGAACTTCAGACAGCAATTAAAGACACACATTAATGCAGCTCTGTAACCATTCATACATCATAAAATGTATTTTTGTAAATGCGGCAGTGTAAGTTCATGAATTTGGCTTGGCATTGCCCTCTCGCAGTCCCTGCACAGCTGTGCTCAGACTGAGAGAGGCAGAAGCACACATAGAACCAGTTGTGATGCAGTGCTCTTGTGCTAATTGAGAATCTGCTGATAGGCAGTGAAACCAGAGTGACAGTGGCAGGAAGATGAACTTATCAGTTTGCTGCTTCTCCTTTCACTTTCAAAGCACAGCCTGGGGAGGACAAGAGTTGTAAATGTTACTAAACTGCAGCAAAGAATAATAAGGTCTTTGTGGCAGAGCTGTGTATATCTTGGGGCCGGATAAACAAAAACAAATACCTTTATCGGGTAAAATAGCTTCCATATCTGTTTAGTTAGCTGTGTTTGTTAGGGTCCAGCTTTAAGATTGTTTCCACCATGTTACTGTATATGTACAGTTAGGGAATATCATTGAATCCAGGACAGCAAGTGTACATGGATTCAATATAGAGGACAGCAAATGTACACAGATTTAGTTTACTGAGCAAATGTACATGTGCTATTCTATAACCATGTATGCCACATTACATTAATAGCATATGCTTTTAATGTGTATTTCTTTATTCTGCTTAGGATCCTGAAGTCATGGCTGCATTTCAGGATGTAGCTCAAAATCCAGCTAACATATCAAAGTATAACACCAACCCAAAAGTGATGAATTTGATCAGCAAGCTATCCAGTAAATTTGGAGGCAGTGCATAGAGTGCAAGAGCATCTGGGACACAGCAGTGAAGAAAGAAGACCTCATGGACTTTTTATGTACACTTGGTGATTTCTTTCCATCTAATAATGCTTACGAAGTGGTTATAAAATGCTGTATTGCAGATACCAAGGGATATATAAGGTGTAACAGTTGGCACAATGTGTTTAAAAAAACAATAGCGTACCTGTATTTTTTTTAATTTCCTGTATGGGTTACTATAAGAATGTTATCTGTCAGCAATATTTGAGATGCAATAAAATATACCAATCTGCAAAATATACAGTAATGTTCATGGTTTGTGTACAAACTGCACTGAATTATTTACAGAAGCCTGCTGGTATGAGCACCCCATAATTTAGGTAAGTGGGTGTAGTTGGAGGGTGGAGGGCTGCAGAATGGCTCCATGTTGCATCCTAAATATGGGTGTAGCATGGAACATGGTATGAATGGTGGAGAATTTAGCATTTAATGCTATTGTCCCTTTCAATGGAACTGTACTAGCTCTTCTAGCATTTTTAATTGTCTCACTGGTTGGTTATCCAAAGAACAGGCAAAACATTCCTCTTCACTCTTATGCATTTTTACCACTTCAGGACCACTATACATACTTTGTATGTGTGTAAAATACATACAGGCAGTCCCCGGGTTACGGACGTCCGACTACTACGCCGGTACATTTAGGAGAACTGTGGCTGCAGCGACCTGTGTCCTTTCAAATCCGTGCCTGTGTTGGCGGAGGCAGCGGGGACACAGACCGCTGCATACCGCCGATGCCCCACGTCCCTCCGCTGATGTGCTGGCTTCCTCTTCAGCCGTTCCGTCAGCTTCCCCGGTCCGGACGATCCTATGGTCTCCTGGTCCTGCCGCGGCTCCTCTGCCCCGCCCCCCTGCCTACTCTTCATTGCAGGCTGGGAGCCATACCCAGCCTGCTATTGGATATTGTAAAATGCAATAGCAAGCTGGCTTTTGCACCCGACCACTGTCTGCTGTCAATCAGCATGGGGGGACCTGATAGAGAACTTTCTGCTTCAGGCCCCTCCTCTGCTTATTGACAGCAGGCAGTGGGCAGATGCAATAGCCAGCCTGCTATTGCAATTTGAAATATCAAATAGCAGGCTGGCTATGGCTCCCAGCATTAAAATCCCCCAAAAAAGTTTAAAAAGACAAAAAAAAGTAAAGAAAAAGTTAAATAAAAATTAAAAATGCAAACAAATTATAAAAAATAAAGTTTATAAAATAAAATAGAAAAAATCTTTTTTTTGCTGTGTCATTTTAAATAAAAAAAAATGTTTTAATTCTATTATCTTCTCAACAACAGGAACAGACAGCAAAAGAACCGTGACCCTTCCCTATGCTAAAAAAATTTGGCTGGAGTTGCACTTAAAAAATTTACCTGTTCCGACCTTGTATACAAATTCAACTTAAGTACAAACCTAAAGTCCCTATCTTGTATGTAACCCGGGGACCACCTGTATATATTTAAACCAGGGGTTTAGCTGAGCAGCCACTGAGCTCCAGTCCTCATTACACTCTTCTAGTCATCCTGCACAGCAGCTGGTAGCGGACAGTGCGATGGTCAAAATAGGACACAGCAGTGTCACTGCCCCTTCCTCTGCCTCCCCATCTATGTAGGCATAGATGGACCTTTGCCCATGTTTGTCTGCTTCTTGGCTCCACTGTACACCCTCACTTGATGGTCAGCAGACATGGCTGTCCATTTTTCTTTTATTTATTTTTTTGTATTTCATAGCCCCGAAGTAATGGTTACGTGCCCTCTCAGGCGGACATTTCCCACTTAATACCCTTCACTTTCACATGTTCCCCCTCCCCTGGGATTCCTCTTCTGGGCCTCTAATCCAAGAACTGATTGCTTCATCAGAGTTGGATGAAGATAGATGTCTGCATTATTGCTGCAGACTCCCCCAGTTTAGTGGTAGTTGCAGTTTTCGCCGTAGTTGTTTTTGGGTCTCTGGGCTTGTTATAGCTAGCTTAATGATCAAGGTGAGACGGGTGTGTTCTTGCCTCTGTGATCTATATTTTTGCTCTTTTTATTATCCTCATTATGTATGCTACTGGTCCATGATTTTCTTTTATTTGGTTTATGTCTAATGCTTGTAAGATTTTGTCCTGGAATACCAGGAGATTAACCCCTTAGTGACTGACGCCATTTTTTCCGTTTTTTGCATCCTTGTTATCCACATTTTAGGCCTGAAAATTACTTCAAACCCCCAAACATATATTTCAGAAAGGCAAGACTCTGTAGAATAAAATGGCGGCAGTTGCAAATTTTTATGTTGCACGATATAAGCGGAACTTATCAAACCCAAAAACAGCATGTATAGCGCGATCATTGTAAACAAAATTGGTTGACTTCTATACCGAGGCGATGTCGGTGCAGGGCTGTGGCGGTCGAGGCCTTCAAGACTCCTCGTAAGGGGGGACAAGATTCTGATTTGTCACCCTTCATGCAGAAGGTTAGTAATGGAACCAGTGCCTGCCTGTACCTGAGGAAGAGACATTTGTCATCGATTGGGACCCCGGACAAGAGGTTAATAGTGGACTGCACTGTTGTTCTAACTTCCCCTACAGCCCAGGAACTCCAACAAGAGCAACATCATGAAGTGTTCTCCCACTCCAGCCTACACCACCAAGATGGACCCCAAGGAGAAGGAGAATTTCAGGGCCTCTCCTATGAAGTCCAGCGTTGCCAGGAAGCTGGTCGTCTCCCCTCCACTGGAGGAGGAAATGGAAATCGATGCCCACGCCTTTCCACAGCTGAAGTCGCCCACCTCTGCCCAGAAGGCTGCCATGCCAACAAAGTCTTTCTATAAGAGAGGAGCTATGTATGTGAGCCCGCTGGAGAGAAGACTGATCAGTGAAACCAAGTCCCAAGGGTGGGACGGCCTCCTCGCCTCCAGATAGAAATACAACAAAGAGGCTAGAGAGGAAAGGTCCCTCAAAGATGACAAAAGCAAAAAAGCCATCAGGTCAGAAGAAGAGGGCTGCGAGTCGCGGTGCATCGACCCCCAAAACACAGAAGAAGGCTCCGGTAAAGGGGACCTCCTCCCAGACACCCCCCGCACCAGTCACCACAGAGGACCATGTCGCCAGTCCCCAGAAGAGCGCCATCTTGGGACTGAAAGTGAAACCTAGGCCCAAACTCACCATGGGAGCGGCTTTCTTTGCTACCAGTAAAAAGCCTCATTCGTCACGCAAACTCCCCACTCATGTCAAGATCCCGGCATCAGCAAAGCCAAAACCCTTCCAGCCAAACGTCACTCAGGGCACGGGATCTGGTCTGCTCGTGAACTCTGGTGGGAAGGAGAACAAGGACACTGGTCTGCAGAGAACGGCAAAAAAAAGGGGGGGGGGAGTTGGCTGTAATAGGCACACATGAACCGAGGGGGAGAAAGAGTTGCAGATCAGCGGTCAGCCCTAAAAGTCAGGCTGCTGTTGCATAGATCACTACAAAGTTTTAAAAACAGACCTGTAAGAGCAGGGGTGGGCGGCCTTGGCACTCCAGCTGTTGTGGAACTTCAAGTCCCATGAGGCGTTGCGAGACAGAGTCACGGGCATGACTCCCAGAGGCAGAAACATGGTGGGATTTGTGGTTTTGAGCAGCTGGAGGGCTGAGGTCGGGTGCACCTTAAAGTCACTACCTAGAATTGTTCACTTCATTGTCTTCCTCATCACGTTCAATCCTTCACTCTTCTACGTTGTATATATTTGTGTTGTGTTCACTTATTCACTTTGATTGTTTTCATCATTTTGTTGTTGAATGATGGTCAGCACACAAAGGGGTGTCTGTGAAGGTTCTCATTCATCCGGGGTCATGTTATATGTGTAAGAGTGGGTCAAAGCCACTGGGTTTGCTGTGTTTTTCCTGGGGACGTTTCGCTTGTCGTCCGACCGTCACTTCAGAGTGACTTTGACTTGTACAGGCCAAGTCGAGCACAGGTCGTTCATATTTGAGGGAGCTGGCTGGCGGGGCGTCTTCAGGGAGGGTGCAGCAAGTCTAGTTGATTTATCCTTACAGATCCGCACAGAGGGGTGCACAGCACATTGCCACATAGACTGACCAAGCCGTTTTATTTCCTCTATGCAAAACAATTGTGGGGTCAGGCCGATGTTTATCAGGAGTGTCGGTGAAGGGACCCGGACTACAGTTTAATTGCTGAAATAACGTTCTTTTGCTTTTAGAATTATGAAGCCAAAATAATACATGGGGTCACATGTCTGGAACTTAATCACAGGGGTGGCTGGGGCCGTAAATGTTCACAAAATGCAGCCCCTTCGCTTGGGGGAAATGAAAGATTTGGTAAAATGAACCTGGAGGAACGATGGGGTGAGTGGAATGATGGGCATCATTCTACCCCTTATACTGGTAATAATGAGCTCAATGGAAGTATCAGTACGTAGGAGTAGAAGCCTTCCCAAATATCAGTGCTGGAGTCTAAGGGATGTGCAGCAGTGAGCCGGACCTAAACTAAAGGTACATTCAAATAGAATAAAGCTTGTAATGCTTCCATGATAAAATGTCATGTAAACTGTAACGAGCCCCTGCTCAACTCTCTTTAGATCCCAGTGTTCTACATGTCTCTTAGATCCTGGCGTTCTGGATGCAAGGGCTGCGGGTCTCTTAGATCCCAGCGTTGTGGTCTTGTTTCCACCCTCCTACCTTGTAGCATATATAATAGTGGAGAGTTTTGGGAAGGGTAAGGAGAAAAGAAGGGGCGGAGACAGAGACGCAGTGCTTACATCCAGAATGGCCAGGGAGTATAGCGGGAGCTGCACTGATATCAGTAAACAGTGATTTGCAGGACATGGAATAATCCCTGTGTGATGAGAATTGGCTTCTGAGGTCCCCTATTGTTGAGCGGCTGTAAACATGTTAAGATAATTGTACCCGGAGTTGGGCTTTAGGCTGATGTTTTGGTTTCTAGCTGCAGATGACCAATTTTTCCTGTTGCATACACCCTCCTAAGTGGTTCTCCTCGGTCTCTCTGGTCCAGTGATGTCATTGTTGGGTACAATCACTGTCTGGCCACAGTTCTATCTCGTGTAGGGAGCACTGCGGGGATAACAAAATGCTGCAGAGTGCATTTGGTTTTACTAAAAATGCGACTTCTATGAACTAATACTTTAACATTTATTCAGGTTTAAGAAAATCACATTTTGTAAAATTTTGGTTTTATGACATTTCAAATACTGTGAAATAAATAAACCTGTTTTCTAAAAAAAAAATAAATGGTTGAACCACCAAAGAAAAT